AGCCGCCCATCTCTTGCCATCCCAAGCGGTGCCAGGCGGGACTCCGTCGTCGGCAAGTGCGCCGACGCACTGCGAACGGACGCAGGCGCAGGCCAGACCGCGCCCCCTGGCGCCGTCACTCCAGTCGTCCAGTTCGGGGCCCTCCCGGTAGGAGAGGGTGACCCAGGCGTCGTCGGAGGCTGGGCCCCGACTGCGAACGTGCCTTGCAAGTGCCGGGGGAGAGGCCGTCTCAGCCCTACGTCGGTCGTTCGCCGCTGCGAGGTAGGTCTCGACATCACGGCGACGCAGGGGGGGGCGCGCGGGGCGGGCAGGGGGAGGCGCGGCAGGAGGCTGAGGATGTGTTCGCACCGACTGGCGTCGGAACTGCCGGGGCAGCGAAGACGGGGCGGCGTCTTGCCACAACCCGCGGGTGGCCGAGCTCACCGCGCAGGCCGTCGTCGGCGGCGCGCCCGGGCCCGGGGGCCCTCTTCGCCGGCGTGGGAGGGCACGCGCGGACAGAGCCCCTGTCCAGAATGACCTCGAGGACGCTGGGCGCGATGTCCCAGGCGCGCACCGGGCAGACGCGGCAGTGCCAGGAAGCGTTCCCGGAGGCGCCAGCCCAGCACTCCACCCAGCGGCCCCACTCGGGGAGGCCGCATCGGTCGTCGCATCCCAGGCCGGAGTTGGCCTTAAGCAGACGCAGGAGCCGGGCGCGGGGCGGCCTGGCCCCGCGCGCACATGACCGGCCCCCCGCCGCAGCAGTCGCAGATGGCGGAACAGGACCCAGAATCAATGGCGCCAGTGCCGGACCTGTCGTCGACGGGACGGCGCCTGGGAACAGTGCTGCCGATGTGCCGAGGGTCGTCGCTGCCGGTGGCCGTCAAGAGTGGCTGTGACAGCGTGTAGTCGCTGTTTGGGTTGGGCACCTGGGCTCGAACTGTCGGCATCCGGAGAGGTGTCGGGATAACGTTGCTGACTTTGACCTCGGGCTCGGCTCTGCGGTCCTTATGGTATGCGGCCAGCCTCTCTGCCATGCTCTTCCCCAGGGGTACCTCGATGCGGCTCTTCTTTTGGTGGCGTCGCCAGCAGCGCTGGCGAAGCCAGCGGCAGTTGAGGCCGTCGTTGTAGGCAAGATCCCGATTCTTTGCCAGGTAGTTACGGATCTGGTCGTCCTCCCATGTGCCCTCGCGTAGAACCCGCGGCCCGCTCTCGCAGGTGTCGCAGAAAGCCCGAGCATCCTTCTGCCCCATGGGGGATGAGCCGAACACCCGGGGCAGCGCTGAGAGGCGTGGGTGCGAGGAGGCTGGTCTTGTCGATGGCCATGCCTCCGCCGATGTAGCAAATCAGGTCACCCTCTGCTCTCCCGAGGTGCGCGTCGTTGCCGGTCAACCCAGCGCGGGGTGAGCAGACCGCGCAGTCCGCTGAGGCTAGACCAGTAAAACGAGCGGGCTCCACCAATTCCTCAGAAAGCAGAAGCGCCGAGCGCAAGTGGAACTTGCTGTTCAGCGTCTCCGCCCAGGTCTGAGGGCACCCAGCGTCTTTGGCGGTTGGGTGATGATGGCTCACGCGGACTGGGCAGGCGACATGCCTCAAGGCGTCTTCGAAGCGACCGTGGAGGTGCATAAAGTCGCCCTTGGACTGTCCCCAGGTTTCCCCAAAGAGCTCGCGGAAGCTGACTTCCTTTCAGGCAGATGCGGTGCCCGTAGCGCTGCTGGGCTTGAAATTTCCGAGGATGGCCTCGATCACGTCGCCCCCTCCTGGTCTGAGCACGGGAACATGCACGTCTTGGGCTCCCTCATTGTGAGCATCATGAGAATGAACGTGACCCTTGCCTGCGCCAGCGGAACGGTCTTGGTGCCTCTCCTGGTCCAACCGCTAAGCAAGGGGGTGGGTCCCGCCTGCCCCTGGAGGATGGCCTCGAGGCCGCCATTCCTGGGTGCGTGCGGCGCCTGCTGCAGTTCACGGTAGAACGCTTCCATGCACAAGGGAACTGGTTGGCCTTGTCCAGTCGAACGCATTCCCCACGGTAGGACGGCATCGCCACTTTACCGCATCGCGGGCGGTTCTGCAAGTCCTCTGCTTGCACTGCCGTATCACAATCGTCCAATTTCGGTCCGAAGTCGCAGGCCCACATCAGGGCGGCCCACAGCGTGTTGTAGACCAGATTGTCAACATCAATGTCCAAGTTACGTCGTATAGGAAGCCTTTGTGACTCCACACATTGCGGTCGTATTGGCATGGGTCGGTTGGTTGGTTGGCCATGCCGTACTCGTGCGGGTGTTGTCCACTCACCAGGGAAAGGACAGGGGCGAGAGCGGGCGCCTCCAGAAGGGCGCGGAGCGTGACGTTCAGCTGTTGGGCGGGCTTGTCCCAAGCGGGGAATCAGCGGGGAGTCAGCGTAGTAAGCAGAACCCTTGGCCTGGCTTTCCCTGGCCCTAGCCATGGCACGGTCGATGACGGAACCGTTGCTGGTCTGCTGCTCAGGCGGGATCCAGCTCTGCACGCCTTCGACACAGTTCCATGCTTTTTCGACGTCCGTCCGTTGACAAATCCCGAGGTGCCTGTCATCCACAAAGCGTACCCAAAGGTTGGCAGCCCTGCCGTACAGCGCCCACGTGCTGAGCACGGACTCGCTGGCTCTGCTAAGCGGGTTCTGGGTTTACGCGAAGCGTCTAGAGCATGCTTGGGTGAAGCCAATGTTTCCTCCGACGCGCAAGTGAGATCCATCTGGCGGTCTCATCAACTACGGGCAGTGGCAAGGCAGTTACCTACCTGTAAGGAAAAGCGGTGAGAACTAATGATCCCGACGCGAGAAGTGCTTACGTTCGGAATCGCACAGCGTTCCGATCGGGGGAGCTGAGAATGAGGAGGAGAAGGATTAGAATGAGGAAGAGGGGGAGGAGGAGGAGGAGGAGGAGGAGGAGGAGGAGGAGGAGGAGGAGGAGGAGGGGAAGGAGGAGGAGGAGGAGGATGGGAGGGGCGGGAAAGGAGGTCAGGTCAGGTCAAACAGCCGACGAAAATCCGCAATGAGAAAGCATACGGAGGGGGTGGAGGAGATATAGCTCCAGTCCAGGAGGAAGAGGGAAAGAGGGCGGGGGAGGAGGGGGAAAAGGACAAGCTAGGTGCGCTCACGTCATATCAGACGTCCTACTCCTCCCTCCCATCGCTTATCATGGCGTAGATCTCCTCTCTATTCGCACAATCGGATGTCGTAGTAGGGCATAGCATGAAATGGCATAGCATAGTGTTGGTAAACACGTGGCCTTACATAGAATGGCGTGGCGACGCCCAAAAATGGTGGGGTGCTTCTGCGGGCCCAAAAATCAACGAATCGACACCAAATGCGTAATCACTTCCGATGATTGTTTCGGGGGGGGGGGGGGGGGCATTTTTTCTGATGTTTGGTGCCTATATGGAATGGCCGAAAACCTATGCCGTGGCATGGCGCTGGAAGCCGGCCCAACGGGCCAGGCGGCTAATATCTCCGGTTAACAGGTAACAGTTAATTTCTAGTTTTGCCCTGCGCGAGGGGGGCGGCCCCTAGGTCCCCGGGCGAAAAGTACCCCGGCAGGTCCCCGGGAGGGTGGGGGCCAGAGATGCCGGACTTCCTGGGCGCGGCCCTGGAGGCCTCTGGAGCGCTCCAGGAGCGCTCCAAGGAGACGCCAAATATGTGGCAGGCCCAGCAGCCTGAAGCCAAGAGCGCCCCAAGACGGCCCAGATGGCCTCAAGACGGCCCCAGATGCTCCCAAGACGCCCCAAGATGCGTCCAAGAGACCTCCCAAGAGGCCCCCAACAAGCCAAAATTGATGATTTTCATTGGTTTTTTGCAGATTTTGGCGTTCTCGCCTCTTCGGCTTACTATCGCTCCAAGACGGCCCACAAAGCCCTCAATATCGCCCCAATACGGCCTACGAGGGTTCAAGACCGTTCCGAAACGACCCCAGAGGGCCCTAAGAGACCCCCAGAAACCTCCAAGATGGCCCAAAATGCCTCCAAGACGGCTCCAAGACCGGGCCCCGACGGGGGACCAGAACGGACATTTCGCGCTCTAAGCCGCAAGACGTCCCCAGGAGACCTCATAACGCCCCCAAGAGGCCCCCGAGAGGCCCCAAGAGGCCCCCAACAGGCCCCAAGAGGCCCCCAGGAGGCCCCAGGAGGCTTTAGAAATACTGCCAAGAGGCCCTCGAGAGGCTTCCCAAGAGACCCCAAACGGCCTCTAAAAAACGCGTCTTGTCCACGACCAAACTTGGCTCCCACATGTCCCCCTCCTCCTCCTCCTTCTCGCTCGCCACGAGCACGCCAACATAAAGCACAATTGATCTGGAACCTCCAGAAAGCGGGGCTCTATTGGCGGACCGCGCCAAACCACCATCCGCGAGCCCCATGAGAGCAGACGATGGCGCCACAAACCACTGACAGCCGCAAACGTCGAACCAACTACACCCGACTGGTGCACCCACCGAAAACAACGTCCACCCCCCCCCATCAGCGCAGCATGGCTCACGGACGCGCAGCCAACCCCAGCGATTACGCATTATGGGCCGGCGGAATGAGCGAAGCGATTACAACGCTGCAGCGGGAGCACGATTCGGAACGAGCGGAAGCGCGGAAATGAGGCCAGCGCTGCAGCGGGGGCACGATTCGGAATGAGCGGAAGCGCGGAAATGAAGCCAGCGCTGCAGCGGGAGCACGATTCGGAACGAGCGGAAGACCGAAAGTAAGGCCAGCGCCTCAGCGAGACCAGCATTAAAAAAAAGCAAGCGAAAACCCAACTCGACGACATCCTGTGGAAAAAACAATACGCGAGGGGGGGGCCGAACACTCCGAGACACATTCCGCCACAGACTCAGGGGAGAGAGGAGAGTAGTATTCATATTGAGTAATTGTAGAGGAGAAGAGAGAAGTGGAAGAGGAAGAATAGGAAGAAGAGGAGGAGGAGGACATCGGAGAAGGAGGAGGTGGCAGGAGGAGGAGGGAGAGCAGGGAAAGAAGGGCGAGAAGCGCGACCCCAGAGCCCCCGCTTGTTGAGGTTCTCGATCTCCACGCCGTGGGTGCCAATCTCGCCCTGGAGCTTCTGGACCAGCGTCTGGAGGCCGTCCACCTGCTCCTTGGCGCTGCTGATGTCCTGTGTGTTTTTCCCCAAGATGATCCAGGATGTTCCTCGAGGGTCCTCGCCGAGAAAAGATGCACACGTCCGAGCGATGCCAGGCCGCGGCCTCGCGGGCAGGCCCTCTGGGCCGCGACCCCGCAGATACGGGGCGTTCTTGTCGCGGATGCCCCCTCGCGGAACGTGTCCGTGCGACCGCGCGGGATCGCGCCCCGGAATGCAAACCGCGAGGGCGCGGATACGGATACGTTCGCCGCTCGTGTGGCGAGCAGGAGGGGAGGAGATGAGAGGAGTGAAGGAGGAGGAGGCTGACGAGAAAGAGGAGGAGGAGGAGGGCGAGGAGGAGGCGGAGGAGGAGGAGGTGCGCCGCTCGTGAGAAGATCGCAGCCGCGAGGAACCACAACCCGGCGGAAGTGCTGGAGCTGCGGGGGGGAAGATCTCCCGGAGGCAAACCTCTGGGCGGCGGCAGCCCAGCCGCACCATAACCGACCAACGAATTCTGCTTGAATCGATACGAGGCGGATTCGCCGAATGCACCAGCCACACAGAGGGCAGAAGAGGGAGAAGAGGGACAGGCAGCCACACGCGCACACGCACACACACAAGCACTATTTGGCGTCACGGCCTCGCGCGCAGCGACGAGGCGAAGCAAATCAAAGCAAGGAGAGAGCGCAGCGAGCGCGCCCAGCCAGCTCCTCAGAGCACACACGCGCACCATCGAATTCTGCGGAATTCGGGTGCGGATTTCGCCACGCGCTCGACGAATTCCGAACACTGCCCCCGCCTTATGTTGCTCCCATCGTACTGAAGGACCACATCCGAAAGAAAACTGTATCGAAACAGTGTCGAGCGAGTATCGCCTCCCATGGCCCGACACGTGAAAACCATCAAGTTTCGATGCTCTCTTGGTGCTCAAAATTCTTTCTGGAGATCAAGGCAGAAGTAGGCTGGAGCATCCCAGCCCCCGCTGGGACGCACATGGACATACTAGTACTATATGTCCTCCTTGGAGGCGCGCGTCCGACCCAAACATATAGTATACCCATCTTGTAGTATATCGTTTCCCGAGCGGTGTGGCCAGAAAGCGCCCGCCACGACGCATATACTATAAGATTTCTCGGTGCGCGCGTCGCCCCTGGAGGGGCGACGCACATATAGTATAAGTATGTTGGGCTGGAACGTCCCAGCCCCCGCCGCCCATCGATCGGGGGGACGTAAGACCCGGGTACAGGGGACTCGGAAATCCCCGACGAGGTCGTCAAAAAAATGACGAGGCCGAGCCTGCATTTTGACGAGGCCTCCTGCTGCAGACATCCCACGAAACGCCTCCTCGTCAAAATCCGAGGCGCGGTCGTCAAAAAACGATGGCGAACCCGAGTCCCGGCAAACCCGGGTCTTACGCTCCCCCGAATCGAGGAGGAAGTCGACGAGGAGGAGGTCGACGAGGAGGAGGTCGACGAGGAGGCTCGACGGGGAGGTCGACGAGGAGTCTCGAGGAGTCTCGAGGAGGCTCGAGGAGGTCGACGAGGAGGCTCGACTCGAAGATCGAAGACGAGGAGGCTCGACTCGAAGATCGAAGATCGAAGACGAAGATCGAAGATCGAAGACGAGGGCGCCCCCGCCGCCCATCGAGTCGCTGCTCGGAGAGGGCAGTGTTCGGACTTCGCCGCCGAGGCTTCCGGCCCGCTCTGCCTCGGGCCCTCTCGTCGGATTCACGACGCGGGCGTACGCGTCGGACTCGCGTCGGACTCACGTCGGATTCACGTCGGACTCACGTCGGAGCATCGCCGAGCGAACGCCGACCCGTTTTCCTGCGGGATCGGACGTGGACCAGACCGTACCAACTATGGCGCGCCGCGCGAGGCCTCCAGGCTTCCTTCCCTGACTTGGGGGAGTCGTCCGCCTCCTGGAGCCCTGGTCAGAATGGAGGGCAGAAAATCCACCCACATCATAATCACCCCGACACGCGAAGCCGTTTAGTAAACGCACCCACAGAAGGGATTGAGCAGGGCAGGGCCTTGTCGTGAATAACGCCCGAGTCCATGTAGTAAACGCCAGTCATCGGGTCTGGGTGGTTCTTCCTCCCTTGAAGGGAGGAGGGGCCGTTGGAGACGTCCCGTGATCCGTCAAAGCCGTCTTCAGGGTGGTGGGCGGCTGGCTGGGGCCGCCGTGACGCTCATCGGACCGCCCTCCGATGCGATTTGGGCCCCTCGAGGTCCGGCCAGGCCCCCGGGCCACACATTTGTGGTAGAGGTCGTGGTCCCCGGGCCCCCGGGCCCGGTTGCGGCCCGGTCTGGTCCGCAACCGGATGACCATCCTTTCCGCCTCCGAGGCGCTCTTCGTGGCCAAGGCTGGCTTCGTCTCGAAATGATTGTCCAAACGCACCCCTGGGCATCGCAGTTTTGTTTTGCATCTTGGGCTGTCTGGGAAGCCTTTTGAGCGTCTCGGGAGCGTTGGGGGGAGGTCTTGCGGGTTACGTGGGGCTTCCTGTTGGGCTTCCGGGAGCCCAGGGCTGGAAATGTTCGTTCGGCCCCCTCCTGGACCGCTGGGCTCTTGGGGGCCTCTTTCTGGCCTCCTGGATGCTGCTTGAGGTCGCTCGGGGGCCTCTTGGGGGCCTCTTGGGCTCTCTTGGGGGCCTCTTGGAGCTCCTCGGAGCATCCTGGACTGCTTCTTGAAGTCGTCATGGGACCTTCTTGACATGTCTTCGGAGGTCTCTTAGAAAGAGTTTTGAAGCCTTTGGGGTTCCGTCTTGGGACCTCTTGGAGCCTCTTTTGGGCTTCTTGGGGGCCTCTTGGGGCCTCTTGGGGGCCTCTTGGGGCCTCTTGGGGGCTTCCTGGGGGCATCTTTTTGTTTGTTCGTGGTCCCCCTCTTGGGGCCGTCTGAAAACACTCTTCGGTCGCCTTCGTAGCTACAAAGCAATACCTGCCAAACGCAGGAGCTGCCCAAGCCTTCAGCGAGATGTTTGCTGGCCTACACCTCAGCTTGACGAATCGCACAAAAGAGGCGGAACGGCAAAAACCTCATAAGAGATTAAGCTATAGTGCACAATTATGAGGCATGCGAGAGATGAGAGCAGTATGAGGCAATTGTTAATTGGTTTTTTGGAAAGTATAAGTGCTCGACGCGACTGCTGCGCACGTACAAGACATCATATACATAATGAGCTGTGACTGCTAGATTGTATGAGCTGTGACTGCTAGATTCAGGGAAAAAAGGGGCGTCCGCCATC